TGTTGAAAGAGTAGTAATTAGATCTAAGAATCTCAATCAAACCCAAGGATAAATAAAAAGAAAACCTTAGCTAGGCATATCATAATGAAGCTGCTGTATACAAAGACAAAAAAATTTTAAGCTAAAGTAGCTAAATTTAAAAAAAGAATGGCAATCTGCAATTCTGACTGCCAGCATCAACAACAACCATGGAGACCAGTAAGATAGAAGAATGATACTTTCAAATGCACTGAGACAAAAATAACTGCCAACTTAGAATTCTATAACTTGTATAATTATCTTTCAAGAATGAGAAAGAAAAAGATTTCCAGAGAAAAGTGGGAGATGTGAGGTGTAAGAAGGAACAATGAGCAAAGATATAAGGCAAGTATGTGGGTTGCGAGTAAAGCTAAATTGTTGACTATGTAAAACAACTAGAATGCTTAATTTGTAGGTGGAAAAGTAGCTAACACTAAATAACAAGAAAATACTATAAATTGTGAAGAATGTTACCTGATTTAGAGTTCTGAGGTCTTTGTATTTGTTTAGGAGCAGGATAAAAATACTGTTTAATTTTAGCCTGTGTAATAGACTAAGTATGCATGTTAAGACAGCTAGAGATCTACTAAAAGAATACAGCATAACTTCCAAACAAACAGAAGAAAGGGAATGAGAAACACACACAAACAAAGTTAATCAGTTCAAAAGATGGCAATCCAGGAGGCCATCAACCTAGAAGGGGCAAATCATGGTGCATTCATAAAATAAAATATGGTAAAACTTTAAAAGTTAAGGAACAACAGCTACCTATGTCGATATGGAAAACAATGATGAATGGAAGAAGCAAGTCAGAGAAGGAAAACTCATGTGATTCTGTATTCCGTAAGATGCAAAATGAAGCAAGGTAAGCAATACTTGGAAAATTTTGAACTTTATAGAATACAGAATGCGGCTGGGCGCGGTGACTTATGCCTATAATCCCAGCACTTTGGGAGGCCGAGGCATGCGGATCACCCAAGGTCGGGAGTTTGAGACCAGCCTGACCAACATGGAGAAATCCCATCTCCACTACAAATACAAAATTAGCCAGGCGTGGTGGCGCATGCCTGTAATCCCAGCTACTCGGGAGGCTGAGGCAGGAGAATCACTTGAATCCAGGAGCAAAGGTTGCGGTAAGCTGAGATCGCACCATTGCTCTCTAGCCTGGGCAACAAGACTGAAACTCTGTCTCAAAAAAATAAAATAAAATAAAAAAATAAATAAGAAAAGGATACAGAATGCATACACGCTTAAAGAAAAAACAAAACAAAACAAAACAGGATAGTGGTTACCTCTGCAGAAGAGGGCAGGGGCTACAAGGGGTCTCTAAAATATCGTAATGTTCTATTTCTTAACCTCAGTGGCTGCGTATGGTTACTTGTTTGATCATGATTTAAAGTCTAGGCCAGGCCCAGTGGCTTACATCTATAATCTCAGAGCTTTGGGAGGCCAAGGCAGGAAGATCGCTTGAGGCCCAGAGTCTGAGACCAGCCTGGACAACATAGTGAGACCCTATCCCCACACACAAAAATTTTTTTTAATTAGCCAGGTAGCTTGGTACGGCGGCTCATGTCTGTAATCCCAACACTTTGAGAGGCCGAGGCAGGAAGATTACTAGAGTATAGGAGTTTGAGACCAGACTGGGTAACACAATGAAACCCCTGTCTCAAAAAAAAAAAAAAAAATTAGCTAGGCATGGTAGTGCAAGCCTGTAATCCTAGCTACTCAGGAGGCTGAGACAGGAGGATTGCTTGAGTCCAAGAGTTCAAGTTTAGAGTGAACTATGATCATGCCACTGCACTCCAGCCTGGGCAACAGAGCAAGACCCCATCTTTTAAAAAAAAACAAATTGTATATGGGTTTTAGTACTGTATGATATTTTACACAAAAAAGTTTTAGTGAAACAAAGAAGGAATCTTAGTTCTGGGGGCACGCAGAAGACATCTCAGTTATGTAAATCTGCAACCTAACTCTTGTGGACTGACCTTTTTCGTACCTTGGGAGACTGGAAACATAAGCGTCAGCTCCCACCTGAGCTCTTGTTCCACAGGCTAGCCGCTAAACCAGCCTGGTAGTAACCAGTGACCTAGTTAACTGAGCTTTGGTCTTCCACCTTTCACAAAAGCAACCTAATCACATAAAGGGAAGTTTAAAAATCTCACATTAGCTGCCCAGGGAGGTATGAACATTAGTTCATGATCTGAAATGTGAATAAAAAGGAAAACTGCTCAATATTCATGTCACAATTAAAAGGAATCTTAGACATAATTTCCAAAGCGTAATCTAGTAGAATATTAAATATACCTGTTATAGATCTCTTCAGCCATCTCTCTCCCTGAGGAAATTCCCTGAGACCAAAAGAAGGTCAGAGCTTCGAAGAACACAGACATTTCTCCCCTCTGAAACTAAAGTTGCAGGGAGATTAGCTGACAAGCTCTCAATATTGTTTACCCCGAGACTGCTGTGAACAGTGTCAGGCAACATAACTGCCTTTTGTCTCTAAAGGTGACTTATCTGAGAATATCCCTTCAAGCCTGCTCAGTGTTTAGTGCTTCAAACAAAGTGATCTTTGATTCTTTTCAGTTTTTGATTGATGTAGATTACTTGTTGCATCCCTTAAAACCTAAATTTAAAGATTTCTGTCCTACCTGAAACCCTTTCTGGAAACAAGGCAGGTTAAAATACACAATAAAGATCCCCATTTTCCCCACAGAAAGCAGTACCTGTTATAATTAGATTTTGAATAGATGAAGGAAAGGGCAAGGCAAGATAAGGCATGAGATCAGAGCTTTGCATGTTTTCCAACACAGGTCATTAAACTCAGACCTCTGGAAAATTGACTACCCCATGGTTTTTTAGGACTTCTTTGAAGAAAGTCTATAGGAACACAAATCAGTGGAATCTTCCCACTCTACCTACAAAGCTGGCATCACTCATGACGGTGTCTAGATCATTCTACTAATCATTTACGTGGTCTAAATGAACTCGTTGTGTTCAAAGTTCAAATAAGCAGGTCTCTGTGGTTTTTAATATAGCTTTTAAGCTTTCTTTAGTTACAGGTATGATCCTAATTCTAACCCTAGTATATACCAGAGAGGCTAAATTCTATGTTCCCGCTCACTGCTGAGTGTGTGAAAACTCACTAGAAGCTGATATGACCACTCATTCCAAATATAGCCCGGTCCAAGCAGAATTAATCTACAATATCTAGACCGGCTGATAAAAAAAAAGGGAAGAAATAAGCCTATAGTAACCCAAGAAATAAGCTAATATTTACCTCTGAGACAGAGCTTCGATGTATTTTTGCTCACTTTATCTTCTACTAACATGTGACATCGTCATTATCTTTCTCATTATTACAGATGGAAGGTCAGGAAGTATCAGGTCAGTTGTAAAGGTTACATAGCTAGAAATCAAATGTGTATCTTAACTGAAATAGGGCAAGTCCTTAGGATGTTTTAGAAGCAACACAAATCACAGGTGGCCTTCCACCTCCAACACAGTGACCCAGGTAGAATCCAATGAAGTGGATGTAGTAAATACTCCACGTGGATCCACTCACCTCTGCCACATTCCCCTTGCAGTGTGCCTTACTGCTCACTAGAGGCTGGAAAGCTGGACCACAGCTCAGGTTCTACACAATGATGTAGCTTCGGCAGGCACACCCAACCTAGACTTAGAAGGAAAAAGACACCACCATGGCCCAAAGGACATGCTTTGGATGCCTCTATGTTCCTGCTGGCAGACATAGCCATGGAGGTACTTGTTTTTCTGCGTCAGTCCACAGAAAACTGAAATCCCAGCATCCCATTCCTTGCTTCATAGTGTTGAGAGGCAAGTCAGGGGGCAGCCATTTGGTATCATGACCCGCAATGGGGACAATAGACATCCAGGACCCAGCAGACATGAGAGTAGATCCTGCTTCCTCGCCTTCCTTCTGATGGCAGGCCAGTTCCGTGGTATGATTCCAGTAGGTGCTCCTGGAAGCTCAGCCTAGAGTCTGCTCCTCCAACCCTACCAAAAATTTTGGAAGCCAACTAATGATGCATAATAAATCCCTTGCAGCTTCAACCAGCTACAGTAGACTGACATCTTCAGTTGAACTCTAAGACAATGAATATTCTACTTTCCCATGAAAGGGGCACATTACTAGGCTGGTACCATGAATCTCATGGGTGTGTACAGAGGATGGACAAGCAATCAGATGGCATTTGTTTCACACTGAACTCCACAAGGGTGTGGTTGACTCATTCATGTGTTATTTAAGAACTGTTTTCTCAAATCAGGGCTCAACTAGAAATGGAAATGAAAGAAAGAAGGGATTCCCCACAACCTGGGACTGGTTTATTATCAAGTGAGATAATGAACGTGAAAACCCTTTAAATGGTAGAGTGTTTCTCTAAATGTACAGGCACCTTCCTAGAAACAGTGCTACTCAATCTTATCAAAAACAAACAAATGGTATTTTCCTGCCAAATTTTAGATTTAACTCTCTCTATGGGGTGAATAAAGGACCAAATACCTACAAGGAATAAATGTCTCTTGAATTTCACCTCAAATTTGAAAACTTGAGTTTTTCCTACTATAATTTAATATCTTTTTAAGCATATTTTTCTTTACATGTCTTAAATCCTGTAATTGATCATTTGTTTCAACAAACATAGAAAAGTGCTATTTACCACTATATTCTAAGGGCTAGACACATAGTCTGGCACACAGTAAATATTCAACACATTTTTATGACAATAAATAAGATATGTATTATTAATTTGCACTGTAAAACCCATAGCACTTTGTTTTCTTAGTTTTTATTCTTTTTTTTTTCTTTAAGAGACAGACACAGTTTTACTCTGTTGCCCAGGCAATCCTCCTGCTTCAGCCTCCCAAGTATCTGGTACTACAGCCATGCACCACCACACCTGGCTCATTTTTAAATTTTTTGTAGAGACATGGTCTCACTATGTTGCTCAGGGTGGTCTCAAACTCCTGGCCTCAAGCAATCCTCTGGCTTTGGCCTCTCAAAGGGCTGGGGTTATAGGCGTGAGCCACTGTATCCAACCTTCATAGCATTTTAGACTGGAAAGACCTTGAAGAACTTAAGAATCAATACTAAGACATAACCTAAGACAAAGAAATAGCTGAAAAGTTTCCCTCTTAGGAACTAGAGTAGTATAAAATGATTTTCCCAAAATTAATCTATGTGTCATATAAAAATCCAATATAATCTGACAAAGGAAAGGAGGCACCAGCAGTGACTGTGAAAAAAGTTATAAAGGTCAACTTGAAGAAGAAACATATAAACATGTGAAAATTGGGGGAAAAAAAAATTTAAAAATAATCACAGCTGGGATAGATTATCCTATCAGATATTAACATGTAATCTAGAACTAACATGGAAACAAAGAATAGAACAGACTAGAAAGTGTACAGTTGAACCCAAGCAGGTACAAGTAGTAAATGAAAAACAGAAAGCAATCCAGGTAAGGGAATGTACAATGAATTTACCAATATGAAATGTTGGGACAACTGAGAAGACATTTGAAAACAAAATTAGAGCCCAACTTTATATTTCTGCTGAAATGCAGTTCAATATTAAAGTTAAATATTTTAAAGCACAAGAAAAATATAAGTAAAATATTAATGTATAGTTCATTATATTTAGCTTTGTTAGTGAGATAGTACTTTCTTTTTTTTTCCAATGACCTCTGAACTTTTTACTGGCCTCCTGCTCCCCAAAGGGCACCCTGCTTCTGCTGGCTTAGTGTCTCAGAACTTTGGTGTCATTGGTCAGACACCACTTTGCCATCCACTATCCGGCGGGTGGTGGTCTTTTGGATGGTTTGCATGGAGTTGCTGCTGTAAAGGGCATCATCAAGACTGAAGTCCTCGCCATCTTCCAGCAGGCAGTGGTAGGTGGTAATCTCAGCCTCCAGTAGACCTTCATGTTCAGCACAGCCTCGTACTCCTGGGCCTGGTGCTGTCCCTCTGCCAGGGTCGGTGCCAGCTCGGACTCCAGGTGCAGCAGGATCCCGTTGAGCTGCTCCATCTGCAGCGTGTAGTGGGCCTCCACCTCCCTCAGGCTGTTCTCCAAGCTGGCCTTCAGATTTCTCATGGAGTCCAGGTCGATCTCCAAGGACTTGACTGTACATCTCAGATCCACGAGCAGCATCTCAGCAGCTCCAACCTCAGCAGACTGTGTGGTGACCACTGCGGTGCTCTCCTCAGTCTGCTGAGACCAGTACTTGTCCAGCTCCTCTCAGCTCTTCTGAGCCAGCTCGTCATATTGGGCCCAGGTGTCTTCCATGATCTTGGCAAGGTCCTGAGATTTGGGGGCATCCACCTCCACGATCAACCCAGAGCTGACAATCTGAGCTTGTAGGTCTTTTACTTCCTCTTCGTGGTTCTTCTTCAGGAAGAGCAGCTCCTCCTTGAGAGCCTCGATCTCTGTCTCCGGCTGCAGTTGAGTGACATTGGTGTCATCAGTGACCTCGCAGAGCCCATGGATGTCATTCTCCACAGACTGGCGCATGGCCAGCTCTGTCTCATACTTGACTCTAAAGTCATCAGCAGCAAGACGGGCACTGTCAATCTGCAGAACAATGTGGGCATTGTCCACAGTATTTGAGAAGATCTGAGCCCTCAGGTCTTCGATGGTCTTGAAGTCATGGCTCCAGTCTCTGACTTGGGGTGCCTTCTTCTCCAGGTGCTCCTGGATTTTGCTCTCCAGCCTCCGGTTCATGGTCTCTAGGCTCCTCACTCTGTCCAGGTAGGAGGTCAGGAGGTCGTTCAGGCTTTACACGGTCTCCTTCTCGTTCTGGATGCCTCCCATTCCTGCCAGACCCCTGGCTGTCCCCGCGGCCAGGTCTCCGGACCCCATGCCACCCTGGAAGCCGGTGGAGCGGGACACAGCGATTTGGGAACCAGAGCCCCCCCGGCATCTGCAGAGATGCTGGCTGTGCTGCTGACTGGCAGGATGCCATAGCTGGGCGCCTGGACAGAGCCCAGGGACCGGCAGTTGGTGGAGAAGGTGGAACGAGTGGTGAAGCTCATGCTGTCCAGAGGCGGGGGTGTGGGGAAGCGAGGGGACAGAACTCAGGCTTTGCTGACATGTTAGTGAGACAGTACTTTCTAAGGATGATGTCCAACATGGGGAAGACAGTAAGACTGAGAGATTTGAAGATAAACTTTAGATTTTGTAAATAAAATCACTATGGCGCTTTGGGAGGCCAAAGCGGGAGGATTGCTTGAGCCCAGGAGTTTGAGAACCGCGCAGCAAACAAAAAAATCAGCCAGGTATGGTGGCATGTAACTGTAGTCCCAGCTACTCAGGAGGCTAAAGTGAGAGGCTCACTTGAGCCTGGGAGGTCGAGGCTGCAGTGAGCTGTGATCGTGCCACTGCACTTCAGCCTAGGTGAGAGAGCAAGACTATCTCAAAAAAAAAAAAAAACAAAAACCCGTAAATAAAACTAAGAGATAAGCTAGAAAAAATATTCACAACAAAGAGGGTCAATATTCCTAATAGACGCTAAAAATATCTATAAGTGAATAACAAAACTACTGAACTTCTTTGTAGCTAGACCTGTATGTTGACCTCTTTATCCTTCCCAAATTCCACTGAAACGTCTCCCACCCCCAAATTAAAAAAATACGTAGTAGTGCTGAAAAGCTAGAAAAAGCAGCAACAGCAGTCTGGAGCAGAGAGAACTTCCTGGAAGGCACTTCAGAACAAACCAATGATAACCAAGGGAGTTTCTTGTCTGCAGCTCTGGAGCGGAAAATAGAGGACCTACTAAAAAAAGCAAGCCTCCAAACACCCTCAGATAAGCCAAGGATTCGAAGCAATAACCAAAATCGGAGAAGGAATGAGTCAAGGGTAATCTGCTAAGGAGTACATTTAAAGACTTAGAAACTACTGAGTGAATTATCTTCCCCCTCCCTGCAGCAGCTACTTCTGGAAATAGCCCCCAGGATAAAGATTTGAGATTTCCAGATGCTTCAACAAGCTATTTGCACACATCATAAGAAAGCCTATGCAGCTCCACTACCCCTAGTTTCCCCCTCCCAGGCCTGTCAATATTTCCTTTCCTTTGAAAAACCACCAGATGCAGATCACATGATAAAAACCCGTCTTCACTGCCGGGGTACTGGGATTCTCACTTAAGCTGAGCAAACAGGCTCCAGTCATTTCATCTATGATTACAAACATGGACAACCATTAATCACCAAATGACTGAAGAAAACAGCACAGGAGAAGCAACAGATTCAACAAGCAGAAGTGGTCTCTCAGTAACAAAGAAAATACACTCAAGATCCTTACAGTGATTCAATAAAAAAGAGATCAGACTAAAAGCAAACATTTTAGAATGACTAATTGTTGGGAATTAAAACTATCAAAGCCATAATAAAGCAACAGATGGGTTGAAAGGCAGAGCATACTTAACTGGAAATCTGAATTTGGGCTTAAAGTGTAATTTTTCTAGAAAATTACACTCTTTGCAAAGTACAAAGAGAAATATGAAAGAAAAATTAGGAGATATTGAAGATAGTTTAATCTGTCCTGGAACTCCTGGATTGAATTAAGATTCCTTTAAAGGAGAAAACAAAGAACCAATGCAGAAAATAAGAGAAATTTCCCTATGCTGAAGCTAGATTTGTATAGTACTTATAAAGAGCCCAAAAAGTGACGAGGAGGACAAATAAAGAATGCCTTTCCAGGCCAGGTGTGGTGGCTCACTCCTGTAATCCCAGCACTTTGGGAGGCTGAGGTGGGTGGATCACTTGAGGTCACGAGTTTGAGACCAGCTGGGTCAACATGGCAAAAACCTGTCTCTACTAAAAACACACAAATTAGCCAGGCATAGTGGCCGCGTCTGTAATCCCAGCTACTGGGACATAGAATTGCTTGAACCCAGGAAGCAGAGGTTGCAGTGATCTGAGATCGTGCCTCTTCCAGACATATAGTAGTATCTAGGGAGATATTGCCATAGATCCCTAAAGTTAGGGAAGCAATTTCAAAAGCTTCTAGGGAGGGAAAAAGACCATTTAGTTACTTAAAAGGAAAAGAGAACCTGATTCCCACAGAGGAGTGGATTTGAAGCCCAGCGAAAGCTAGCCCTCTGACAAACATTATAGAAGTTACAATTTACTGCAATAGATGCAAGGAACATATTCTCAGCAGGTAACACCAGGAAATATCAGGCTAGAGCTGTCCTGAGAGAAGGGCCTTGTCACCCTGAGTCCTCCCAGATTAGAGTGAGGGCAGGGAGAGATCCCACCAGGACTTGGGAAACTCCAAGGAAGGCCCTAACAATCTTTTATTCCGAACCACATCAACCTGAAGAAACTTCCCTGTAATTATCTTACATGGTTACAAAACTGCCTTTCATAAGCCATTTCTCCTGTATATAACACCGCCATTTCACCTACAATTTATTGCTACACCACCAGTGTACGTTTGCATGGGTAGTAGTACAAGACATCATTCACGCAAGACTCTGCTGCAACAAAGTCTGTGGGAATGTACATTCATGAATGGTCAAGGTCTGGGAGATACTGAGACTAACAGGCCTGTTTAGATACTACCAGACCATCAAGTCTCTTATTAACAACACTGAATGCAGCCAGGTACAGTGACTCACACCTGTAATCCCAGCACTCTGGGAAGCTGAGGCAGAAGGATTGCTTGAGCCCAGGAATTGGAGACCCGCCCGCACAACAAAGTGAGACTCATATCTCTACAAAAAATGAAAAAAAAATCCAGGCATGGCGGTGCACACCTGTGGTCCCACCTACACAGGAGGCTGAGGCTGCAGTAAGCCATGTTTGAGCCATAGCATTCCAGCCAAGGTGACAGAGTGACACCCTAACAACAACAAAACAAATCAAAAAACAAAAAACACTGGATGTTAGAAGACAATGGAACAATATCCTCAAAGAATTAATTTTAAAAAATTGTCTTGGCTGGGCATGCTGGCTCATACCTGTAATCCCAGCACTTGGGAGGCCAACACAGGTGTATCACTAGAGCCCAGGAGTTTGAGACCAGACTGGGCAACGTGACGAGATCCTGTCTCTACAAAAAAATTAGCTGGCCATGGTGGCAAGTGCCTGTGATCCCAGCTACTCGGGAGGCTGAAGTGGGAGGATCACCTGAGCCTGGGGATATTGAGGCTGCCGTGAGCCAAGATCATGCCACTGCACTCCATCCTGGGTGGCAGGGTTAGATCCTGTCCTCACCCCTCCAAAAAAAGAACTGAGTAAAAAATTAATGGAATTTTGAGATCTATAGTTTTATACTAACCAAATTATTATTCAAGTATGAAGGTAAAAGAAGATGTTATGGATGTGCAATGATTCAAAAAGTTTACCACTTTCAAACCCTTTCTAAAAGAATTACGCAAAAAGGTATCTCCAGCAAAATGAAAAATCAAGAAAGTAAGTGACACAAAAAATAACATGAAAAGTAATATCGTGAACAAATTTAAACTTGTGGTTAAGTCTAAATAGTTGTTCGGTAATATGGGTGGAAATCTTAAGATGACTGCCAAGCAATGATTCCTAAGAAATCATTTTTTAAAAAGTAGTACAGGGATTGTAAAATGGCACACGCACTTTGAAAAATAGTCTGGCAGTTCTTCAAAGAGTTAAATGGAGAGTTACTATATGATGATAGCAATTCCACTCTTAACTGTATGAAATATATTCAAGAGAAATAAAAATATATATCCACACAAAACCCTCTACATAAATATTCTTAACAGCATTATTAATAATAGTTAAAAGGCAGAAACAACCAAATGTCCATGAACAGATGAATAAAATGTGGTATTTCTACACAATGGACTATTAGTTGGTTAAAAAAAAGAAATGAAATACTGATACATGCCACAACATGGATAAATCTTGAAAATACTATGCTAAGTGAAAGAAGCCACAAAAAGAAGTCAAAGAAGACCATATATTATAGGACTCCCTTTATAGGAAATGTCCAAAATAGGCAAATTTATGGAGACAGACAGTAGATTAGTAGCTGACTAGGGCTGGTGGAGGGAGGATTTGGGAAGAGATGGAGAATATATGTTAGTGGGTATGGGGTTTCTTTTTAGGGTAATGAAAATGTTCTAAAAGTAGTTGTAGTGATGATTGTACAACGCTGTGAATATTCTAAAAGCCACTTAGTTGTATACTTTAAATGGGTGAACTTTACAGTATGTAAATTATATCTCAATAAAGCTGTCATTTTTTTTTTTTTTAATCCAGAGAAAGTTGGCTGACATAAAGTACATGGCCAGGAATAGGTAAGGAGGAAAGTGTTGTCCTTTGAATGGAATCATATAATTATATATCTTGATTAATTATCTGGATATTTAGAAAACTATTAGCTTAAAATTTGGGTAAAAATTTTAAAGTAACTCCAAACAAATAGAATTTATAACTTTAAATCACTAGAGGAAAAAATAAGGAAAACTAAGAATTCTAAATAATCACAATAAATATAAATGTGTTAAATTCCTATATTGGAAGACAAGTTCTCAGACTGGGTATAGAAATAAAATCTAACTATATGATACATATAGAAGATGTACTTATAACAAGATGACAAGGAATGGTAAAAAATAAAAGGGGTGTCTCCTTTGGAGGACATGAAGTGTTTTGGAATTAGAAGTGGCAATTGTACAACATTGTAAATGTAGTAAATGCCACTCAACTGTTCATTTTAAACTGGTTAATTTTATGTTATACAAATCCCACTCAATTAAAAAATAAAGGGACAAGGCCAGGTGCAGTGTCTCACGCCTGTAATTCCAACACTTTGGGAGACCGAGGCAGGTGGATCACCCGAGGTCAGGAGTTTGAGACCAGCTGGCCAACATAGTAAAACTCTGTTTCTACGAAAAATACAAAAATTAGCTGGGCGTGATGGAGTGCGCGCCTGTAATCCCAGCCACTTGGGAGGCTGAGGCAGAAGAATAACTCGAACCTGGGAGGCAGAGGTTGCAGTGAGCTGAGATCGTGCCACTGCACTCCAGCCTGGGCAACAAGAGTGAAACTCCATCCTCCCCCACAAAAAAATAAAAAATAAAAACATAAAGGGACAAGCTGGACACATTAGTGCTCACCTGCAGTCCCGGCTACTTGGGAGACTGAGGTGGGAGGATTGTCTGAGGTTATTAGTTCAAGGCTGAAGTGTACTATGATTTCACCTGTGAACAGCCACTGCACTCCAGCTTGGGCAACACAGCAAGAACTGGTCTCTTAAAAA